GGTGGGGGTGGGGGCGCCAGGTCCACAGGGCAAGTGACAGCCGTCCCTCTGCACAGTGAGCCACCACTACGGCTATGGGCTGCTGGACGCTGGGCTGCTGGTGGACATGGCCCGAACTTGGGTACCCACACGGCCCCAGAAGAAATGCACCGTCCACGTCCTACACAACCCCACGTGAGGGTCCCCCCTCCCCCGCCCTGCCCTCAGGGCTGTCATTCCCCACAGGGTGGGGCTGGGGGGAGGTGGGCAGGCCCAGAGGCCTTAGTTACCCATGGGGGAACCGAGGGGCTGGACCCCATGACCTCAGAGCCCCGCCGGCCTGTTGGCTGCCCATCCTGGGCAGGCCGGCAGGAGGGCGCTCACCTCCTCGCCCCCCCAGCCCCATCCTGCCGCTCATGCACGTGAGGAACAACGTGTCAGCCTGCACCGGCAGCCGCAACTACATCCGCTCACTGGAGCACGTGCAGGTGCAGCTGTCGCTGTCCTACAGCCGCCGCGGGGACCTGGAGATCTCCCTCACCAGCCCCATGGGCACCCGCTCCACCCTTGTGGCCATCAGGTGTGTGCCAGGGTGGGGTCGGTGAGCGCTGTCTTCCTGGGGCCTCCTCACGGGGAGGGGCCACGTGTATTCTGGATTCATGGGGCAGCCTGGCAAGGTCAGACCCCCCACGCCCTGCCATGGGGTCACACACGCACTGTGGCTCTGCAGGTCTTCATGGCCGTGCTTGCGAAGACACCCCCCTCTCCCCCGCCCACCTGTCTGTCCCAGGCCCCTGGACATGAGCGGCCAAGGCTACAACAACTGGATCTTCATGTCCACCCACTTCTGGGATGAGAACCCACGGGGCCTGTGGATCCTGGGCCTGGAGAACAAAGGCTACTATTTCAACACGGGTGAGGGCCAGGCCGGGTGGGCTGGGGTGGGACGGGGACTCAGCTCTGCAGCCCCTCCTGTTACCCCCTGCCAAAGGGGTTCCCAGGGGCTCCTCCGAGAGAACATGTGTGCAGTAAGTGTGCCGTTACCTGGGACCAGATCTCCTGGTACAGGCACCAAGTAGGTGTGCTGTTACCCAGGAGAAGTAGGTGTCTGGCCACTGTCACTCAGTAGGTGTGCTGTTACCCAGGAGAAGTAGGTGTCCGGCCACTGTCACACAGTAGGTGTGCTGATAGCCATACCCGGGAGAAGTAGGTCTCCAGGTATAGGCACTCAGTAGGTGTGCTGTTACCTGGGAGAAGTAGGTATAGTCACTTAGCAGGTGTCTAGCAACTGGCACACAGTAGGTGCTTAGCAGCCAGGGAGCCATCTGAACCTGGTGCCGGGTGGGAGCCGTGGGGGTGTGTGGGGCGGGTGCCCCAGGCACTGGCAGGACCAGGCGCCAACAGCCTCCCGCTCCTCCGGTTCCCCTGCGACCCTGCCCAGGGACGCTGTACCACTACACGCTGCTGCTCTACGGGACGGCGGAGGACATGACGTTGCGGCCGCCGTTCCGGCCCCCGGACCCCCAGGTGACCAGCAGCGCGTGTGTGCAGCGGGACACAGAGGGGCTGTGCCAGGGTGAGTGGCCAGCCGCGCGGCCCTCCTGCTGGGAGGCGGCGGGCAGTGTGCGTGTGCGCCGCGGGCGGGCGGGCGGGCAGGCTCTGGGCTGCGGGCGACAGGCTCAGGCGCCCACGTCCCGCAGAGTGCCACAGCCCTGCCTACCTTCTGGGCCGGCGCTGCCTCGCCTATTGCCCTCCGCGGTTCTTCAACCACACGCGGCGAGCCGTGACTGCGGGGCCCGGGCGCCCGGCCGCGCCTGCGCTGAGGGTGTGCACCAGCTGCCACGCGTCCTGCTACACCTGCCGCGGCGGCTCCGCCCGCGACTGCACCGCCTGCCCGCCGTCCTCCACGCTCGACGGGCGGCGGGGCTCCTGCTCCGGGCCGGCCGACCCCCGCGGCCTCCCCCAGCCCACCGCCAGCGCCAGCGCCTGCTGCGGCAGCCCCCGCCGCCTGGGCCCCGCCGTGGTGCAGGTCCTCCTGGCCGTGGCCGTCGGGTGCCCCCTCCTCTGCGGCGCGTCCACGGACCGCCGTAGGCCAGGTCTCAGACACTGGGGTCGCCCCAGTCACCTGCCAGGCCCAGCTGCCGGCTGGAACCTGGAGTGGTAGGACTTGGAGTGTGGACCTGCCTTCCCCTGGGCCCCTGCAGGCACTGTGTCTCGCCCCCGCTAGCCTGGCCTGGAGGGGCGAGAATGGCCCCAGAGGGCCCTGGCTGGCCACTGGCGGTGGGGCCAGAAATAACCTCCAGGTGGAAGACAGAGAGAGGAGTCCCGTACACATTTTGGGTTTGGGGGAGGGGAAGGGATGGGGCAGAGGCCAGACCACGACCACCATCCCTTCCCTGCCCCTGAATCAGGGAAGGGAAAGTCGGGGAGGGAGGAAAACATGGTGCTGTCCAGTCTCCGGCACAGCGACCAACCTCAGAGTTTGCAAATAAAGGTTGAATACAAGGTGCCAAGTCTGAGGCCTCCTTGAGAGCAGGGCAGCCCCGTGCTGAGGTGGACTCCAGTTAGGGCCCCCAGACATCGGCCCCTGGAGGACCCAGTGGGCCCCAATGGGAGAGTCGGGCCCAAGGACAGTGGGGAAGGGATGGGGTCCCCAAGCGATGCCCACACGTTGCCACACTTAGCATCCAACCATGGGACATGGCCCATCCTGGCCCAAACTTTTTATTATTTTTATTTTATTTATTTTGATGGTAAAAATTAAATTTTATTTTTAGTGTACTTCTCAGCAAAATAAGTAACTTTTTAACACCAAGAGCTAACACAAGCGTGATCAGCAGATCACAGTTCAGGTGGCTGGTTCCGGGCAGGTCTATCGAGGTGCCAGTAATTATACTTCTTGGGTCTCCAAGGGCCACAGGGAGGTGGAGGCCTCGAGAGAGTGTAATTACGGACTCTCGACTTCCCCACCCATAAAGCGGGTTTTCCACCTCTCTGGAACTGCAGGTGGGTCCCCAGGTGTGCGAATTGTGAGCAAGAGAGGGTGCCAGGGCAGGTGCCAGCTATGAAAGTGCCACCTGTGTCCTCACACACACCAGAGAAGTGGACACACCTGAGTCCTGATGTTCATTTCTGTGTGATATGTCAAATCAAAACGACTTGGATATTTCTTTGCAAGGTCAGACTAAGTCTATATATGATATGTAGCAAAAAATCCAACCATTTCAAAAAAAGCTATCTTTTTCCAAAACACTTCTTCAACGGGAAATTTCAGATGAACACTTTCCCGAGTTAGCAAAGGTCACTCATGAGCAGGATGATATATGTGAATCATTTGAAGAATATGCAGCTGTTACAGACCTATTAATTGGAGAATACAATGAAAGGTTCACTGACTTTGAGAATCACGACATCACACTCAAATGAGCATTTCAGCCTCACCTAGTTGATGTCACCAGCGCACCTAAAGAACTACAGATGGGCCGGGCACGGTGGCTCACGCCTGTAACCCTAGCACTCTGGGAGGCCGAGGCGGACGGATTGCTCAAGCTCAGGAGTTCGAGACCAGCCTGAGCAAGAGCGAGACCCCGTCTCTACTAAAAATAGAAAGAAATTATCTGGACAACTAAAAAAAAATATATAGAAAAAATTAGCCGGGCATGGTGGCGCATGCCTATAGTCCCAGCTACTCAGGAGGCTGAGGCAGGAGGATCGCTGGAGCCCAGGAGTTTGAGGTTGCGTGAGCTAGGCTGATGCCACGGCACTCTAGCCAGGGCAACAGAGCCAGACTCTGTCTCAAAACAAAACAAAACAAAACAACAACAACAAAAAAAACTACAGATGGAACTGATTGAGCTCTCAGATGACATTTTAAAGTCATTGTTTGATGCTAAGAAAGATGCAATTGAAACATGGAAAAATGCAGTAGAATACCCACACCTTCAGCAACATGCCCCAAAATACTTGCTTTTCAACCACTTACTGCTGCAAATCTACCTTCTCCTATCTAACCCAAATCAACACTCCCTTAAGGTCACGAATGACTGATACCCATCTACAGGATCAACTGAAATTGTGGACCTCCATGCTGCAACCAAACATTCAAATGCTTTCCATCAAAAATCAGACACAACCAAGCCATTAAAAGGTTAACTTTAAAATTAACAAATAGTTTTCATTTTTTGAAATTATTAAGTACATAGTAGTTAGATTTTTACAAAATAATGTACATTTTTAATTATATCTAATTGAAGTTTCTTGAACGGGGACTTATTTGATTACAGCTAAATTAATGGGGCCTTCTGACATGAAAAGGTTCCCCATCCCTGGACAAAACCAACTTGATATTCCACACACTGGAATGTCACTCAGCCATGAAAAGGGACAAGGCTCTGACACAGGCCACAGTGCGGATGGACCTTGAGGACATCGTGCTCAATGAGAGACGCCAGACACAGAAGGACACACAGTGTGTGGCTCCGTTTATATGAAATGTCCAGAACAGGCAGAACCACAGAGAAGGGAAGCTGGGGGTGGGGTGGGGTGGGGAGTGGTTGCTAACAGGAGCAGTGTTTCTTTTGGGGTGATGAGAATGTTCTGGAAATAGACTATGCTGATGATTGCCCAGCTCTAAATATACGAAAAACTCCAAAACCATTGAATTGTATACTTTATACAGGGGAACTTTAGGGTATGTACATTGCATCTCAATAAAGCTCTTAAAAAACACGACAACCGCCCTCCACCTTCCGACCCCAGCAGTGGGAGGAGGGGCCCAGATGACCGCCCAGTATCCCCGCCAAGGGGGCAGGGAGGTTTTAGAAAGTGGAGGGGCAACTTTGACCCAGAGTTGGAAGGCGAGATGCTGACATGCTTCCTGCCTCCGTGGCCCTTCCGTGATTAGAGCAGCCAGCACGTGCTGAGCGCTCACTGCGCGCTAGGGCCCCTCTAGTGCACGGGGACTTTGTCCCCGAAAGTGTTGGGTGTCACCCTTCTGCAGGCACCTGAGCTTCGGACGCTTTGCTACCCAGGCTGGAGAGCCCAGACTCGAACTCACTCGCGCCCCTTGCGCTTCCGGGCCCGGGTTCCCCCAGGAGGCTGAGATCGTGCTGATCCAGCAGCTCCTCCCCTAGGATGACACCGGGACCCTCCCTGGCGCGGCCCCTTTAAGAAGGGGCGGGGCCGGGCGGTGAGTGGCGAGCCGGAGTTGGAAGAGACCGGAAGCACGTGTCACGTGCTCGGGTGCGGGGCTGCGCTCCGACCGGAAGCGGAAGTGGATGTCTCTGCGGCGCTGGGCGTGCTGGTGGCTCCCGGCGCGCGCCCAGGTGAGGAGTGGGCCGGCAGTAGGGGTTTTCGTGGGGAAACTGAGGCAGAGGACAAGCCGGACCCTGAAGCCCCGGGCCTCGTGTGGTTGGGCAGAGGGAAGGCCAGGGGCAGGGCGGGCTTCCCCGGGAGTGGGGCCGCGACGATTGCGTACGAGTTCTCTGGGCGGGAGGAACGGCCCAGGCTAAGGCCAAGGGGTGGACACCCCCGTCATGGCGCCCTTCTCCCGCCTCCAGGCATGGGCTCCAAGGCCAAGAAGCGCGTGGTGCTGCCCACCCGCCCCGCGCCCCCCACGGTGGAGCAAATCCTGGAGGATGTGCGGCGGGCGCCGACCGGGGACCCAGTCTTCACCGCCCTGGCCGCGGAAGGTAGGCGGGGCCCAGGCCCGGGGACGGGCGGACGCGGTATCCCAGCAGCAAGGGGGAAGGGGAGAAGCACACCCCTGACTTCCACGCCGGGCCCTGGTGACCCCAGGTCGGGTGAAACCATGGAATCGGGAGCCCAGGCTCGGGGACCAGTAACGTGGGCAGGATCCTTATCTATCCTCTCTGAGTGCCCCTCTCATCTGTAAAATGGGGCCCATCTTCAGGGGGTCCTGTAAAACGGGTGGGCCAACCAGTGCCTGAGGCCAAACCTTCCCCCTGCCTGTTTTTGTAGGGCCAGGGAGCTAATAATGAATTTTTTTAAAAGTTTTTTTATTTTAGAGACAGGGTCTTGCTCTGTCACCCAGGCTGGAGTGCAGTGGTGTCATCACAGCTCACGGCAGCCTCCAACTGCTGGGCTCAAGCGATCCTCCTGCCTCAGCCTCCTTAGTAGCTGGGACTACAGGCGCCACCATGCCCAGCTAATTTTTTCTATTTTTAGTAGAGATGGTGTCTCAGATCTTGCTCAGGCTGGTCTCAAACTCCTGAGCTCAAGCAATCCTCCCGCCTCAGCCTCCTAGAGTGCTGGGATGACAGGGGTGAGCCACTGTGCCTGGCTGGGAGCAATTTTTAAATTAAGTAACATCTGTCTAAGCACATTTCAGGAACCACGCATTGCTGGTGGCTGTTCTAGTGAACAACGCAGGTGGAAGACATTTCCATCATCTGGAAGGTTCCATGGGATGTTGCTGCTCTAGGTGCATGTGCTGGATTGTTGCTGGTGGGCACCTGGGTGACCTGAGGGTGCTCCAGCTCCAGTTTGAGAATCATGGGTGCAGGCCCAGGTACACTGGCATTTTAGAGTGAGGAAACTGAGGCATGACAGTAAAGGAGCTCACTCCAGGGAGAGGGCATTCTTTGCCTGCCCGCCTTGTCCGTGTGCACCGCCTGGCCTTCCCCGCCTTATTACTAACGCGGGCAGTAAATAAGTGTTTTTTAACCAGACACCAGCGTTCTCTAAGCCGATGCTGGATGCGTAGCTGCATTAATGGGAACCCACCCGGCTGCCCGGCAAGGCAGGCCCTGGCATCTCCGTGCATAGTCAAGGGGACCAGGGAAGAGGGAACCGGGACATGTCTCTGAGTGACCCTCAAGCCTGTGCTCTTTGACCCTGCTGCCACAGGCCTGGGCTCTCATCAGAGCAGGGGGTCTGTACATGGTCTCTGCTAGATGTGAGAGGTGCCGCGAAAGGGGTCGTCACATCTCCCGAGTGTTGGGTCCCTGAGGTCACATAGCCACAGGAGAGGCTCCCAGAGAGAGAGCAGGGGTGAGAGCCATGCCCGATGGCAAGGGCTGGGCTTTGTCTGTGACCCATCCCCTGGCTACATCCTTTGCTGAGGGGCCTGTGTCTCCCAGCTGGGTGGCCCGGGAGCTTTCGTAACCTTTAGAATACCCTGCCCTGAAGGTTGCTCAGGGAAAATGCCCTGTGGCATGCCCAGGAGTGGGCACTGTGGGCTTCCCTGACCAGTGACACTGCTGTATCCTGTCCCCAGACCCCCCAGGCCCCTCCAGGAGGGTGGAAGACGCCAAGGCCCAGTGGGAGCAGCTCTACCAGCAGAGCCGGACCTATGTGGCCACCAACCAGCGGCTGCAGCAGGCAGGCAACGGGCTTAGGCAGAAGTGTGAGTGCCTGCGGCAAGCCGGCGAGGACCTGGCGCGGGAGGTGGACCAGGTGAAGCAGGCGGCCCTGCTGGAGGCTGCGGCTGTCTCCTCGGGCTGACCTCAGGGCTGCCCGCCCGGGGACCTGATCGCCTGTCAGGTCCAGGCCGGCACTTCATGTGGGTCCTCGGCACCTGCGAATGAGCTGGCCCAGGCTGGCCTCCGTCACGCTGACTGCCCAGCTGGCTCCGTCTGTCCTTGTGCCCTGCCTGATGGGAGGACGCCCGCTCTGCTGCAATTCCGTCCCCTCTTCCACCCATGGTTGCCATAGCCCTGGCATGAGATGGGGCCGCTGGGAGCAGATGCCACCTCCTTCCTTCCCGGGGCAGGCACTTTGTCCACCTCTGAGTCCTGTGCCAGGCCCGCAGTTCGGGTGCGGCTCCGACTTGTTCTGTGGTCCAGTCAAACGGGTGCCCACCCGGCGTCAGGGCCGCCTGAGAGCCGGCGCCAGCCTCTGGTCCCACTTCCCTCCACTTTCGGGGCTCCTCCTACACCCATCTTCACAACAACCCTGGGCTGCCAGGGTCACCGTTCATGCTGCCCCCAAGAGAAGACGCCCGAGGCCCCTGCCAGGCTCCGTGTCCACCGTTGGCTGACAGGAGAGCTCATCAGTCACTGCCCGGAGCTAGCTGGGGTCGTCCGGGTCTCACGCTGCCGCCTACCTGGGCAGGTGGGGATTGGGGTGGCAGAGGACCTTAAAAAGGGCCTTTCATGGTAAAAGTCACATCAAGCAGGAACTAAGCAGCCTGGGGTCTGGGGGAGGTGGTCCAGAGGCCAGACCCCCAAGTGGCCCCCAGGCCCTGCAGATAAAATCCACCGTGTCTGATGGGCCTTTTGAATGGCCCCTCTCCGGCCACTCCTAGGGCCCTGGGAGGGATGCCCGTGGCTGACAGGCAGGACCCCTGAAGCCACCTCACACTTTGTTTCTGGAACCTCTCAGACCCGCTTTGTTTCTGGAACCTAAAAGATGTTTCTCTCTCCCCATACAAGGGGTACCTGCAGAAGCTTCAGAGACCCTCTAAACCAGAAACTGGGGCTCAGGGGGCCCAGCCTGAACCTCTGGGGGCTTCTCATTGGTCACTCACCCCAAAGCTTTGCTAACCTGTCTGGGGACAGAAACCCCGGGTTGCCGGGTAAGGCCCCTGTCACCCCTCACCCACTTTGCTGCTTGCAGAGCCGGGCCAGGGCTGAGCTCCCCGGAAGTGGCTGTGCTGTGGGGGCCGCCCAGCCCCTGCCCAGCCATTGCCCATGGTTCTGGTAGCAGGCGCTGTGTCGCCCCCGGCCCATCCGTGCCCAGCTCCAAGGGGCCTGCAGTTGCCCGCCTGCCTGCGGCCAGCACTGAGCCCAGGTACAGACACCCAGGTGTGGCTGCCTGGCTCTGGGGTGCTGTCCATCCTTAGGAGCTCCCCCAGGGGCAAGCAGAGACCCTGCCAGCCTCACCCAGTCCCTTCCTGTCCCCAAATAATTACCATGCCCTGGTCCTGCCTGTGGGGCCTGGCCGGAGGCGTCTGTCCAGCAAAGCGTTGCCGCTTTGTTCCTGGTAGGAGCAAAGCTCCACACCCAGCGCGTGGACCCAAACGGGAAGTCCTCCCCCACCCTTGCCCGGTCGTCAGCCCGCTGGGGAACAGGAGCCACAGGCAGCGCAGGGTGATCGAACAGCTCCGTTTATTAAAGGTGCACGGGAGTCGGACGGCTGGCCGCGTGTCGTCCTTCTGCCAGACAGATGGCTTTACATTGAGGGGGACGGACGGGGAGCTTTATCTATGTACATGTCCACTTAACACTGTGCAGGGACCTGGCACGAGGACAGGGTGGCAGCAGGATGAACCAGAGAAAGGCCAGGTGCGAGTCGAAGTGCTGTGGCCAGGGTGACAGACGGGGCGGGTGAGGTAATGCTGTTGGCCGCCGGGCAGGCGGCCAACCCACTGGCGCGGCACCCCGAGTTCAGCACCCAGATTTGGTGGTGTCGGGGGCAGGTGGTGGTCTGGGGTGCCTCGGGACATCAGACCCTTGTTGCCCCTGAGGCTGGCCACGGTTTGCTTCAGCGGCCGGTGGGGACCCCGCGTGGCCCAGGTGCAGACTGCCTGAGCAGGGTCTGTTGCAGAGGGCGGAGAAGGCAGAAGTGACCCCAGATGTGGGACGTGGCAGGGGTGGTGGCCGGCGGGAGCTCAGAGGTCCGAGCTGCTGGCCCAGGGCTGGGCTGAGGGGGGTGGCACGGGCAGTCCCTCCAGGCCCAGTTCTGGGAGCAATGCCAGACACGTCCCCCTTGATGGCAGCCACTCCAGTAGCCTGAGAGGTAGCTCTGGGAGTTCTTCCCACGGCCCACGTGGGGAAACCGAGGCACAGGGCAGTGAGGTCACCGCCCAGGGTCTCACAGTGCGTGGGAGGTGGGGCTGCACCTCGTCTACAGCTGGGTGGCCGGGGTCCGCCTGCCGTTTCCCCACTGCCAGGCCATCTTGGGTGCAGCCAGCCTGCGGTCTGTAGTCTGAAGGCTCAGGAGAGACCACTGATCCTGCCCCAAGGGGCCAGGGAGTTCCAGAGATGCCCGGCTGCGTCCTGAGGAGGCTCCTGGCAGAGGGAGGTCGCCCTGCTCAACCCACGTCCTCCCCTCCCTGCTCAGTCACTGGCCTGGCAGCAGCCCTGCCTGCCAGCAGGGTCCAGGCAGAGCCCCAGGCGTCGTCAGTCCTGCAGGACACGGCGTTTTGGAGAGTAGTAATGCAGTATGCTCGCGTGTATGGAAGCAGCAGCACGTTATTTCTGGGGCAGGGCCTGAGGTCAGCATTGCTCAAAAGAGTCCTGGAGTTGAGGACAGCTCCTTCTGCCAGAGGCTGGCCCTGCCTGTGCCAGGAGGCTAGGGGGACAGGAGGGAGCAGGGTTCCTTCTGAGCTCCTTGCACCCACCTCTCGAGCCCCGTTTCCCTCGTCCCAGAGGACTGGGACCGGCACGTGGACTAGTGTCTGCCCCTCTGTCCCTCTGGAGCAACTCCACGGGGCGGCCGTGGCGGCAGATGCATGTGCAAAGCACAGCTGTTCCTGGAGCCGAGACTCTGCAGGAAAAAGTGCTCAGAGCAGGAACCGGCCACATGCACTGGAGTCCCAGAGCAGAGGCCCCCGTGGAGCCGTGGACACGCTGCTGGGGAGAGAGGAGAAGGTGTGCCCACCAGGCAGTCCTGCCCCTGCTCCCCGTCTGCTTCTGCCTCATCCGGTGCCAGACGCTGCCCAGCACCTGGTTCATGGCTCCTGCAGCAGCCCCGGCCTCAGCACATCCAGCCGGCGGGCCGTGGGCTCCCACCTCATTCCAAAGCTCTGTGTTGAGTTCAGGCTTCCCCAGCTTGCCAGAGGACAAGGCTCAACCCTCCAGTTTCCCTGCCCCTAGCAGTGCTGTCCCTGGAGTTCCGAGGTCCCAGTAGTTTGAGTCATAAATGAGAAAAAAATTGAAAAGGGAACAAGACCCGCAGCAGCACAGCCATCGGCACTCACGACGATGTCCATAAAGTGCAGTCCCTGGTGGGACAGAGGCCAGGCCTCCTTCCCATCCGGACCATGGCTGGCCCGGGCTCATCCTGACTCCAGCGACCCCCGGGTCAACCCAGCTGGCAGCCAGCATCTCCTCCAGGAGGGGTCAGAGGACACTGCTAGCAGCCGGAGCACGCGGTGGCCCCACGTCAGCCGGCCGCCTCGATGTGCACCAGGTGCTCTCCCGTCTTCCTTCAGGGGGCAGGGTGACCTGGTGGCCCCCTCCCCTGCCCACCGCCCACCTGTCAGCACCCCCCCAGGGTGTCGGCTCCAGGCTCCCTGAACACCCCCATCTGGGTGGGGGCGTGTTTCTGTTGGGCGCTACCACACCCTCACTCCATACTCCCCAGCTGGGGCTCGGAATGAAAACAAGCCCCAGGAAGCCATCATTAGCGAATTACCCGCTGCTGCTGTAATTACAGCCTTCTCAGGGTGCCACCGCTGGCAGGCCCGGATGGTGCCACCCTCTCCCAGCCTGTGCCCCCCTCGGGTGGCTGCTGTCCCCTCCCCCAGCGCTGCCCCCGCTGCGGGTGCAGAAGGAGCTTAGCTTCTCCAGAGGACAGGGGTCTTGCTTGAGGGCTGAGGCCAGTGGCCACAGAACCCCCACGTGGTCTGTGCACTGCTGGCAAGGGCTGGGCCAGGGCGTCCCGCGTGCCCTCCGGGGCGGGGCTTGTACCCGGCAGCAGCACCCACAGCACGGCAGCGAGGCCTTCCCACGGGGTGCGAGGCCGCTGGGTGGGGGCTCTGCAGGTGGGACTCAGGTGGGCAGAGGCCCTGGGGCGACCTACTGGAAACATCTATAGCGCAGGCCCCCTGGTAACCAGGCTGGGCCGCAGGGCCGGGAGAGAATGTTCCAGAAGGCCAGCGAGGCCACTATTCCAGGAGGCTGGTGGAGGCGGTGACCGGGGCTTTCTCCGCGGCGGACTCGGTGGCGGCTGTGGTTGCCACCATGGGACTGGGCACGTAGTTGAAGGGGGGCACGCGGGCCGAGCGGCTGGGGGAGCCATGCCGGCTGGCGGGGAAGCCCCCCACGGCGACTCCCAGGCCCTCGTGGACGAAGGGGGCGGCGCTGGGTGCCTTGGTGGGGATGGGCCCGTCCACGTCGCTGCCCAGGAGGGTGGCCTGGCTGCTGGCCGGGGCCCCCGGGGGCTCCCTGCTCTCCAGGCTTGGGGACGTGCTGGAGTTGGTCTTGGGGGCGGCGACCTCCTCGGTCTGCACCACCGCGTCGCTGGTCTTGCGCGGCGGGGGGCCGGCCGGGCCCTCCTCCGGCGTGGCGGCCCTGAGGGGCAGCGCCGTGGCGGGCAGCGTGCTGCGCAGAATGTGGGGCACGTCCTCGTCCCGGATGCGGCGCCACGTGGTGCCCGGCGCGGCCACCCTGGGCAAGGGCCGGGCCTCCCCGTCGCTGCTGCGGCGCGCGGCGTCGGAGGGGCGGGGGGGCGCGGCGGAATCGGGGCGGCGCGCCACGCTTATGTGGGGCAGGGACGCATAGCGCTTCACGGGCTCGGGCCGCGCGGCGGGCGTGCGCACCGGCAGGCGGGACGGGCTCTCGGAGCTGGTGCGTCGGGGCGTGCGCTCGCCAGGGCCGGGCCGGGCGGCAGGGGACTGCTGCGGGGCCGAGGCCTGCCGGGGTGCCGCCCGCAGCTCGTCGCAGCGCGAGGAGCAGAGGAAGACGGCGGGCAGCGCGGGCCGGCCTCGGAGGGGCGATGCGCCCTGGGGGGCGGAGGCCGTGGACTCGGCAGAGGACAGCTCTGAGCGGCGGCGCCGCAGCAGGCCTGGAGACTCCTTGATGAAGGTCAGCTGTCGCCGGAACCCCGAGCGGTCGGAGGACTCACTGCCGCTGGAGCGGGTAGAGGCCACGCGCACCAGGCCCAGGCGGCCTCCGCGCGCGCCCGGGCCCCCCTCGGCTCCCACCCGGCCCCTGGGGCCTGGCTCCGGGGCAGCCCGGGCCAGCGGCGGCGGCCCCCGCCTGGCCGGCCTCTGCATGAACGGGATGCGCACGGGCGACTTCTGCGTCTTGTGCTGCTTGGCCAGCAGGGTGCGCGCCGGAGTCTTGGGCACGGGGGAGGCCCCGGGGCCAGGCAAGGGCCCCGCAGCCTGGGGGGCCGGCGGGCACTTCCTGGGCAGGGGCTGGGAGGCGGGCGAGGTCTGGGAGGAACTCGAGGAGGGGGTCTTGGCCAGGCGGGCAGGCGGCGTGGCGCTTCTTGGGGGCTGGGATAGCGTCGCCAGCTCTGAGGTCTTGCCAGGCCGGTGCAGGCTCCGAGACCGCTGCTGCCCTGGGCTGGGGGCTTTGGCTGGGGCCGCTGGCTGTGTGGGACCAGGCAGCCCCATCTTTCGCGGTGTGGCACGGGGGCCGGGGGCGCCTTTGGGCTGGGTTCGGGTGGCTGCACTTGGTACATAGATCACCGTCCGTCCTCGGAGCACAGTTGGCACCCCGGACGCAGTCTTCTGAGCGCCGCGGGGCTTCTCAGGGCCTCCAGGGGAGTGCGGGCTGCCCCCGCTCTTGGCCGAGGCCGTAACTCGTTTCTCTTGCCGCCGGGCACTGCCCACCTCACCCGCTGCCCCCACCTGCCGGCCCTTCCTGTGCTTGAGGGGCTGTAGGGTAGAGCCCATCGACAGCCCCGACGGGAAGGATAGCATAGAGTCAGACTCCGAGGAGGCCTCTCGGGTGGCAGCCGCTGCCTGGTGCAGCCACGTGACAATGGAGTTGGCGCCCTCCTGAATGGCACGCCACTCGACGCTGTCCAGGTCGGACGCTTGGTCTGAGCCTGCCGCCTCCTCTCCGTGCTCCCGGGGCACCTCCACCGGCCGCTCATCTGGCCTGGCAGCTCGGGGCTTGCGACGCCGCAGCCCGGACAGCGGGGGCCGGCGTCTGGGCATGGCCGAGCCGATGCACCGCCGCAGTAGCTCCTCCTCAGCCCGCGGGCTGGGGGAGCTGTCGTGCCCACCTCCCAGGCCTGGATCCTTAGTGACCACTGGCTCTCGGCCCCGTGGACGGATGGCCGGCCGCTCGGGGGGCTCAGGCTCACTGAGGGAGCTGGCAGAGGAGCTCAGGGAGTAGCAGGGTGGCGTCTCGTCAGCGATGAGGCTGGGCTGGGCCCGAGCTGGTGGCAGGGCAGGAGGTGCAGCCTTGGCCCTGGCAGGGGCCTCCTTCCTGCCCATGGGGCGCTCC